CACACTCACATACACACACGCACTCACACACACACACACACACACACACTCTCACACACTCTCTCTCACACACACACTCTCACACACACCAACTCACACACACCCACTCACACTCTCTCTCACACAAGACTCTCTCTCACACACTCTCTATCTCTCTCACACACACACTCACTCTCTCTCTCTCTCACTCACACACACTCACACACACACACACACACACACACACACACAGACGCGCACACACACTTACCCTAGTGAAAAAAGACACGCTCGCTCAAATCCTGGAATTCCTTCCCTAAGGGACACTGTGGGTCAACCCACAGAGCATGGATTGCAGCGGCTCAAGAAGGCAGCTCACCCCCACCTCCGCAAGGGGGCAATTAGGGATAGGGCAATAAATACTGGGCCCGACAGTGACACCCACATCCCGCAAAATGAATAAAAAAATGACAACGCCCAGAGTTCCATCTAACTGATAGTCCCTGCGTGTGTACAAGCTTTATTCATAGCAATTGCACCTATTTGTTGGGATATCTGTCTGAGACAGGCTGCAATCATAGCCACCAGTTTACCCAGATATATCAAGGTGAATGCACTTAGGGCCACGGCTAGATGTGAGAGGAGCCGAATTCACGGATGATAGGTTTGGGCATTTGATGGTCTGGTGTATTTGTTCAGATTTATTTAAGAGTGGTCAATGTCCCCTGTCTGTCCACAGCAAATGGGAGGGTGTCATTGTAACTCATCCAAAATACCCTCTTTAGTTAATTCTGGTATTTTTGATTTCAACCTAACTTTGTCACTCGGGATAATTGGAATCCCTGGCACCAAGCCGAGTGCCTCGCTGCAAGTGTCCTTGGAGTTGTCATTAAACCAGACCATGGTGAGCAGCAGCGACTGATGGTGAGAGATGTTGGTGTGGGTCTTCTCCTGGAACAAATGTTCACGCTGATTGTCACTAATCCAGGATGGGATTTTCCCTTGGCTAGACCGCCTGAGGTCCTCCCTCAGCTGTTCAATCATCCAGTCACCATAGATATTGCACAGGGTGCGGTTTTACAACTCACTGATTTGGCCCTGAATGGTCTGGTAATCAATTTGGCGCGACCCTCCAGTATGGTCACTAAGTGATTAGGTAGTCTGATTCTCCACTGGTTTTCCCATGGTCTCCTGTTAATTGTTTGTATTCAGTCCCCCGAGGGCTTATTTGACTTGTTGGGTCAAGATCTTCAGTTTATTGTCTGAATTAGCCAGGTCAAGGGTATTGAACGGTAACAATCCTGCCCCATATGCTGTGGCGAAATTTATAGACTTTCCTTTTCTTTCATCTCATAAATGCTGGCCTGGGATTTCCCTGAGATATCCCTGTCCCTCATCACAGTATTCCATGGATCAGGTGGGAGTATAATCGTTTTAATGGGGAAGGACACCACTCCGGTAATTGTGTCCCTGATACATCTTATATGATTGGCTGTGAATATCATTGAACAAGGTTATCCCTGTGGGTTTAATGACAAGTCCATTCCGAGCACATTGTGCGTGTGGGGCAAGCTGCGGGAGGAGTCTTCACACCTGTTCCAACACCGTTTTCAAATTTGTTCTCCCGCTGGGACTTCCCAGAGCATCAGTGCCTGAAATCTGACCCCTTGTCACGTCTACATGCCAGACACCCCACTACTCTGTAACCCGTTCTTGGAGAAACCCCAACAATATTCTGTGATCCACGAGCCCCTAGAACACAATGTTGAACTCCCATGGGGTTTCTTGGAGACCACGAGCTGATGGTTATAGGTGAATATCACGAATTCCGCAGGGTGGAACTAGAAGGTCCCATCAACACACATTGCGGTGTCTGGTGGGTCATTCTACAGGGATCATGAGCACATACTTCTTCCCTGTGGTTGTGCTACATATTTGCATACAGTCATTATAAAGCAATACGCAAGAAACGCTCTTTAAAGGTCGAATTGCTGTCTTTGAGTAGCCACTCCAGTGCACTTCCTAAAAAGAGAACATTTTCTTTAAATATCCTGGTCTAATATATGACACTGTGTTCAGCATGAAATTAGAAAATGCTCAAATTATTCAATTGTCTCCCATTCTTGATCCCATACCCCTCTCCCCACGCCCGTTGATAGAATAAATGTGCCCCGTGTGGAGGATGTGGTGTGGAGGGATTGGTCATTTCCCAGTACGTTAAAGTCGTTTGTGATTTCGAGATGGCACTGATGGAGTTTTAGTGGTCGGTGTTTTTTCTGGCAGATTCCAGATTTTGTTTTTTTATTTCATTATAAAGTGCTGAGCAGCAACGCTCCTTCATAGTTGGGGATTAAACTCGTTATTGTATTTGGTTTATTCATTGACAGAAATTTGAAAAACAACAAAGCCGAGCAATGCTGTAAACTTGATCTCCCCAAGGAGCTTCCATACAGTATAAGTCAACGTCTTTGGGAATGTATCAGCTCAGAGTTTCAAACAAGGAGCTTGTCAGTTGGCAGAAGGGACAGATCACTTTGCACAGAAAAAAAATGTATCGAACAATTCAACTCGTGGAGAAAGTGTTCGACACCATCCTTGCTATTATTGGCATTCCTGGTATGGCATCTTGATAATTGAACTTGTATTAATCTGTTGCTGATCTGCTCTCTAATGTTATCTTTCGAACAATAACGTCTCCAGCTCAGTGACTGGTCATCTTTATCCAGACGCCAGGACAGTGACAGCAATTCACTGAGCAGCATTCTCGGTACATTTCTCCAGTGACAGAAATTCCCAACTTCACTGCTGCTGCAGCATTTTCTGATCTCAGTGTTCTGTCACCTGTTCCGGTTTCATACAGTTTGAAGGTGTGAGGAGAGATCAGGCAAGTTAGTTCTGAAGAAGGGTCACCGGCCTCGAGCATTAACTTTGCTTTCTCTTCCACAGATGCTGCCAGTCCTGCTGAGCAGCTTCTGTTTTTGTTACACAAATAAGGCCTGTTTTCCCCAGAATTTAGAAGGTTAAGAGGCAAACTGAGCGAAATTTTACAAGGTATTAACGTTTAGAGACAGGAAAAGATGAGCTATTTCTATAGATTGGGGATTATAGAATGAAGGAGTTGGGTCTGAGAATGAGGTCCAGAACGCTCAAGAGAAATGCTAGGGGCTCTTCCACACACAAATGGGTCAGTGGTGTATTTGAAATCTGAGTTATTTTTTGTTAAGCAAAGAACTTGAGGGATATGTGCCTTGTTTTGATTTGTGAAGCTTCATCTTACTCAAATCCATTCTGGAAATTCTCTCCCCACGCATCTCTCATCAGGGAATTTAAATCTTGGCATATTGCCCTCCTCATGCTTGCACACCGAAACATTTGCAATATACATATGTGTAGATTTACAGTGTAAATACCAGAGCAGTCCTAACACTCTCATATTGTCACTATGGGAGTCCTGCATGC